TAGAACAAAGCAATAAATTCTTCTGTACTTAATTTCCAGTTAATGTTGGTTCAAATTCTAAAAACATAGAAATGAAAAGTTATAATTCGTTCAATTTAGATTTTCTAACATTCATTTATTGAAAAGTAAAAAAGGTCCGTCCATTGACTGGGACAACACTAAGGATCCAAGACTTTTAACAACTTCACTATGAATTAGTTCCAGGTTATTTGTCAGAATTGAATCTAAATCCGAATTTGGTTGTTTCCATTGTATGCTTCGAAATCGATTGAAGGTGTAAGTGTTGTTTCACTATAGATTTCTAACTTTGATCAGTTTGATCAAGTATTACATTATTTATGATTGTGTTTTAGATGGCGTTTAAGATTGAATTTCAGCGCGAAGCATTTTTTGCACACTTCACATCGGAATGGTTTGACACCGGTGTGATGAGCACTAATATGTGACATCATACCACATTTACGAGATGTCACGTAGCTCTTGCACAAGTAACATTCGTAACGTCGACTTTGGCACTTCGATTCATGTTGCTGCTTTTCCATCTCTTGAGAGAAGTTTCGGGCGCAAACCAAACATTGGAATTTCACCGGACGAGGATTTATGTGGAATTTTGAATGCCTCTTTAGACTGGTCTTTCGTGTGAATTTCTTGGAGCAAAGGCTGCATCGGAACGGTCTATCGCCGGTATGCACACGCATGTGGATCTTCAATTCACCGGTATTTGGAGTTGAGAACTTCTTGCACAAGTGGCATTCGTAGCGTCGCCTATCGCAAGTGGCTTCGTGCTCCAATTTTTCAAAATTCTGAGCAAATCGCTTCAGGCAAACTGAACAGCTGAACGGGAATTCATCGGTGTGTGTTTTCAAATGTGATTGAAGGTGTGCTTTCTGTGTGAATCGTTTGTCACAGATGTTGCACGGGAACGGCTTCTCGCCAGTGTGCGTCAACATATGCGTCTTCAAATTGCATGGCCGTGATGCGACATGATCACACGTCGGGCACTTGTGCTGTTTCTTGTTTTTTTTTGCAGCTGATCGCTTCTTGTGAGATGCAATGATGACCGATCTGGCTCTGCCTGTCGCTTCGATTGACTTCAATTTGGCAGCCAGTGTTTTGTGACCATCGCGATTCTGCTTTTTAGCCTGTTTGACGTCAATGTTTCTCTTGCCTGAGCCATCACCGCTTTGCTGTGATTGTTTGCTTTCTTCTGGCTTGCAATCGGCGTTTTCCACCTTTTCAGCTCTGGGCTCTGGTTTGACATGAGTCGAATCAAAATCATCCATGCTTGTGTCATCGACTGGTTCCAACTTGACATGTGGCATTCGATGTTGATTTGGACCAGACACCAAGCAAACTACCTCTGGTTCTTCTTTGACATCGGGCTCCAATTTGAATGCAACTGAATCGCAATCCACATCGATATTCATCTCGGACCGTGTTGATTGATTACCACCATCGGCAGCGTTCGCCGAATCGATTGTGTCGCGCCTAATTTCGTCTGAATGCGTGTCATTCATCGTATATGACAAACGTTGACTCTATTACAAAAGGAATGGAAGCAATCATGAAACAACAACGAGACAAATCGACAAACGGAACAAATCAATGACATTTTCACAAAAATAGTGGAATCACGAAAGGGAAAGTCAATTCAATAAAAAGTAAAATAAATATGAGAGCTATTTACTTTGACTATCAAATCAGAAGTTGTTTTCCAAGTCAAAGCCAGTCAAACCTAAC